GGAGCGCAATCGCAGAAGGAGGAGGGGAGTCAGAGCGCGGCCCACGGGGCGGCGGCAGCCATTAACGAGGGAAACGATCGTTCCCGAGAGGAGCCCCCGCTGGCCGGTACCTCCATCCGCGCTGCTCCTGACGCTTCGTTGAAAGCGGCGTTGGCTCTTCCCCAGGAGCAGCGCGGCACGGTGGGGCTGCGGTGGGACTCGTTACCTTCTCTTTCTAGGGTAGCCTATGCGCGCAGCCTCGGGTGCCCATGTGCCTACACACACGTTTCTTTGCTTAAGTAAAGTAAGATGGAAATAACAAGGGTATGGTCAGGGTAGCAATGGACCAGAACCCCTTTCACTGAATTAGGTACCATGCAAGTAAAATTCTACAAATACTACAAGTGTACAATTCAAATAACGTATTTCTAGTGAAGCACACTACCCCAACCTACACTGTGTCATACAATATCAAACCATAAATGCAATTGTCCACTTAATTTCAGCATCTGCCAAAAAAGTATGATGGTTGAGAATACCATAAATAGGTTGAGAAGAAAATAATTAATTTTCATAGCTCAGATAGTTTCACTGGAACTTAGAGGTGGCCCCTACCTTAAAACTAAAAACCAAAGCTTTCAGAAACAAAGCTGTAGCAAAACCAGTGATACATGGCCAGTTCTTAAACCTTAATAATTATTTTTCATTTGCTTGCATTCAGATCTTTAGAATACCAGCTTGCCCCCCCCTCAAAAAAATCTTCACTGATGTCAAGATTATTTGGTTTGAGACTTGCATTGAGAAACACAAGTTTTAAGCGACTTGTTGGCATTAGGAAACAATATACAAACTTTTATTTGAAGAAAATCTCAAATATGACAATAACTTTGGTCATGTTAAAAGGAGGCCATCCAAGAATGAATATAAATGAGCTGCTGTATAAGCATGGCCACATACAGTATATTCAGATATTAGCTAATAGAAGCTAAGGTTACACACATAAATAGGCCTTAGTACCATGCAAGTTCAATGCAATTTCATACATTCATTATAAATTTTCAGTAATTTTCATGCCAATCACCTTTTGGATAAAAAGGTAAGAAAGAAGTAACATCTAAATGTGACCAAAATTGAACAGAAAAAAAAAATAAGTACAGACAACATTTTTATTAAAAAGATCTTGAAATTACACCTGTTCGAGAAGTGTTATACCATCTCTGATCTCTCCTTCAGTGGGAATTAGTGTTAAGCATTGTTACATATCAAAAAATACAACTCTGTTTTACAACGTAGTACTGGCATATTCAAAGTACTGTGCCAAATTATAAATAGTAAAATCAGGTTTTAAAGTATTTCAATAGAAAGCAACTTATGCTCACACAAACATATGCACATATTACAGTTATGTAACAAAAGTTTTATAAAAGGAAACATTTACCCCATGCCAGTTTTAATTACTGAGGTGGGATTCAATACCTACTATGAAGACTGACAGTTCATTTCTTTAAATATATTTATTAGTCTCTGGAAAAAATAAGACAAAAATTTACTTTCACCAGAATATACACCATTCTTCACTGACAATCCATTTCTCAGTCATGACTGACAGAAGTCGGTCCTTATGAAAGTGGCTTTTAGTTTTTGAAGACCTTGCAATAAAAAAAGAGATGGTCCACTAGACTTCAAAAATTCAATCAGCTTCTGCTCAACTGCAGAATAATCCTACGCATTGCTTCTACCTAGAGTAATCTTCATCATCTGTCATCTGTAATTGTAGACAGTCACATCTCCCACTGTGACTCAAGGTGCAGCTACAAGTAGAGAAGTGCTTAGATACTCAGTCACTTCAAATACACTTGTTGAAGACTGCTTCTAGTGCATAATCAAGTTGAAAATCCCTTTACTGATCATAATGGTTTGTCAATAACTGTAACACCTAGAGTGAGGGGGGGGGAAAGGCATAAATCTTTATTTAAAAAAAAAAATCAAGAATATGAAAATCAAGTTTTAATACCTTGCAACCAGCAGAACATAAAAGAACCTGTGCACCAGCATCAGTGTTCGTATTTTCCTTAATTTCTCTGACAAAGTTGCCTGAACCAGTGCAAAGCTCTGAAATTTTCTGTGACTTGAAAAGATTTGTCATTACTCAAGTTTAGTTTTGTTATCAGTGAAATATATCCTTAACATCCACTTAAATAACTCATTTGAGAAACTGCAATTACTGAAGGAAAAGATTCCTGAAGCAGCTCTTGGTTTCTAAATATCAAATCCCAAAGAAGTTCAGAATTGCACCCCGCTAAACTGAGACACAAATCTCTTGTTAAAAAAAGGACTGGTCATACCAGAATCATCTTTCTGACTCACCACTTACATGCTAAATCCCTCTTGAGTACAGTTTACTGCCATGTTTTTCCTTGTAGTGAATAATTGTTTGAAGTCATCATTCAAAACCTACCATCAGATTCTTCATACCTGTTCTGTTATCTCAGGTTTTACCTTAGCTAGGACTGTTCAGATGCTTTATCAAATTTCTTATCTTAGCTGTTGTACTGTAAAAAGTCTGTTAAAGAATATCTCTACAAATTACCTGCATAGCTTCTTCCTGTACTCATACAAGATGACACAACTGTCCATTTATCAGTTGTTGGATTATAATATTCCACTGTTGATAAATTACAGGAACCATCGTCTCCTCCAACTACATACAAGAGACCATTTACAGCACAAACACCTAAAAAAAGACAGGAAACCAATATGAAAATTAGCAATTGGCTTGTTCACCCCATAAAAGCATAGTTTCTATTCTGCAACATCATGAAAGGAGCAGAAATCCAAGAATGTGCCATTTACACCAAATGATATTACCACTGTTTTTAAGTAATCGTTGCATATACCTGCATTCCTTCTGCACATGTTCATGTCTGCAACCTGCTTCCATGTACTCGCGATGGGATCAAACACTTCAACACTTTTTCTTACCAAAGGACCATCATGACCACCTACCGCATACAATAAATTGTTTAACACACCAACACCTGCAAACATATGAAAATACTCAAAGTTAACCAGAGAATGGTTTGACTGATACAAAGGAGAAACAACAAATAAAAACATAAATCCTTCATCCAGTCAGTGTTAGGAACTATTTCAGAGAACATTTGGGTCAGGATGCATTAAAGCAAAAAGACAGTAACTACAGCAAGACACTGATAAAATGTCTTGCGTGCCCATCTACCATATCACAGCTTACAAAGACCAGAGCTGTTCTGCAACAGAAGATTTAGAAAATTTTGGATGGAAAATGATGTGCAGGAAAATGAGGACTGTTGAAATTTAGGACTAATTAGAAGTGACAGTAAATGTGACAGTATGCTCAGCCAGCATAACGGAAATCTGACAAGATGATAAAGCATAAGTGAATTTTTAGAAAGTAAAAACTGTGCAGTATGGAGGATAAAGGCTGAATGGATAGACATTATACAATAGGGATGCTTCCACTGAAGTGTTAGAATACCTTGTAAACATATATATGAAACAAAAGTGAACAGTTAGTGTGAGCACCTTCCTCTTCTGGGACTGGGAGAGCATCAAGGTTCCTTAACCCAAGCCTCAGTTATCAAAATATCCAAAAGGATATTAAAGGGTCTCCTTTATAACAAAATCTTATCAATCTGTACCCTTGGGATGAAGGAATAAAGCTAGTCTATGTCTGCTTGCTAATTGGGCTGCACATACTGAAAAGATGGTGATACGGGAAGCAGAAAGGAAGGCCTGTTTATTCCTCACTGTATAATGCAATATCAGAATCCAAACTTAATAGATTTCAGAAAAGTAGGGGGAAGGGGGGTTGCATTAAAACTTGTGATTGATGGACCATAAAGACAACTGAAAAAATGCTACTATGAAAGTACATTGGGAAATCTAAAATACGTCACATTTAAGATTATGAAACTTAGAGCTGAGATACAGATTTGCAAATACAGTTCTTAAAGTGTTGCATGGAAAGGGGCAGCTTAAAAATCTTTATTGAATGAAAACAGCAGATATGAATGCAAAAGATCAGTTAAGTCCTTCATAGAAGAAAAATTGCTGGGTGGAAAAATGAAAGTACATTGGGAAATCTAAAATACGTCACATTTAAGATTATGAAACTTAGAGCTGAGATACAGATTTGCAAATACAGTTCTTAAAGTGTTGCATGGAAAGGGGCAGCTTAAAAATCTTTATTGAATGAAAACAGCAGATATGAATGCAAAAGATCAGTTAAGTCCTTCATAGAAGAAAAATTGCTGGGTGGAAAAAAAAAAAAAA